ATTAATTTGGATGCATATGCAACAGTAGCCTAGCTACAGCAGAATTTGTCACAGTAACCTGTGCTCAATGTGAATAAACTAGCACCACTTAAATAATAGCTACATTATTTCAAAGAACGATCTAATTGTTATGCAAATCATGCCGTGTTCATTGACTATCAATTGCTGCTGTGACTAATGCAGAACATGGGGGGAAATGTGCTAATTTACTTCAAAATTAATTTGAGGCATAAGGCTACTAAATGTTTAAAATTGCACATAATGATATTCAAGTTTAACGTAGGCTATTTATAGCCGATCTGCATGCTGCTCTAGTATCTATCATTCCCATGCCGTGTCCACAGAATTTGAATGATGTAAATCCAAACACAGCATTAAAGTATCGCGATCTACAGCAATTTCCCATGCAATCCGATCCATCACATGTTGAATAAACTAAATGCAGAATAGACCGTAACGGCATGAAGCAATGATGCGATGTCGTCTTACCTGTTTTAAAGCTCGCTTTTTATGCCTCCGTTTTTCTGTACAGCAAAATCAATGGTGTTATTTCTTCTGGAAGTATTTTATTTGGCTTGATGTCAGCTTTAATGGTCAGCTGTTGTTTTATAAGCACTGCCCTCGTGCTCTATCAATTCCCGCGTGCCCGGTGCAACGCTGTTGAACACGATTAAAGAACAAATAAAACCTTAGCGAGCGGTACGCCGTCAAAAACTACTTTCGAAGGCCACTTCATCTTAATTTTTTTCTCCGTATATATCCGTATGATACGAGCGAAGCGGGGCAAACGCTCGCTGTCAAGAAAAGAAGGGGGGAAATCCGCATCCCAGTGAGAAAGAAATGAAACAGGTATCCTCTCTCATGTCAAATTAAGTCAAACGGTCTTCTTTTGCTCTCTTTCCTTCACTTTCCTTCTCCCTCTTTCCAGAAACGAGTACCTTTAAATAACGATTTGAAGCGCGCTTGATAAGAGCTCGCTAGCTGTTTTCTCCTCTGCTTCAGGAGGACTGCACTCCTTCAGCTCTCCTTCACGCTGCTCTCTTCTCTAGACACACGGTCTCTCACTCCGCTCGGTGCATCTCTGGCTTTGTAGGTTTGATTACAGATGATAGGAATGCAGGTTAGACTGTCAAATATAATTAGGGATGGGAAATGAAAATATGAATGATTCTGGGTGTGATTCCAATTCCTGTCAGCTCGGCGATTCCATTAACGGCCCTTAACTACTTTTACGGAAGACATTTTTGAAAGAATTCTTTAGAAATTTCAAGGGATTTTTAATTGCGTTTACTGCCCTCAGCAGTCTGTTAGAAATACTGAGGTAATTCAGTATTCAACAAAACATATGAAAAAATAACTCTTTAAAAACTTGTTTATATATTCGAGTCGGACATGACGAAATTAACAAGACTTGCGGTTTATTAAGTAAATGTAGAAGCCGCTCCGATTGATTCAAACGTCTTTTGATTCAATAAATATCTGACTCATAAGAGTCATTTTTTTTGTTCGGGGAAATGGTTTTCACTGTGTTTCCGAGTCTTTAAAAAGAACCGACTCAAAAGAGTAGGCTAATTCGTTAGGGAAACGGACTACAATGGTTGCGATTTGGATACACTTAAAAGAACCGGTTCAGAAGAGTCACTCGCTCGCGAAATACGAAGGTCGCACTGTGGTAATGATTCACTTCAAAGAACCGACTCATATGAGTTGTTGGTTCGGGAATCGATTTCGTTTGCAGTGGTGTTGTAGCTAGTGCCGCTGAACGATGCAAGGAAAACTGTTCGGTGTTCCATCATCACGTTTGAGAACTGTTAACAGAACCGAATGTCACTTCAATAATTTGGTTCGGGTATTTTTTTTAAATGAATCCAATCCTGCATTAACTGGTCATCGGTTGCAGGCAGCACAAAAGCAGCCTCCTCAGTCAAAGCAGTGTTGTCTAGCCTACTCTCTTGCTCCATCATGTTATGTATGAGCCAAACATCCCCCGTATTTCTCATCAGGTGTACATAACGTGCTCTGATCATTTGCATTAGACATCTCTGTTTGGTGCCAATGAGTAATTAATGAATCACATCTTCCCATACTCCACATGGATTTCTAAACATTTAGCTAATTTTACTCAGCCAAAGCAGAATCATGCAGTCACATGAGTGTCCGTATAAGAAATTCAGGAAATTTCAGGAAACAGGTTGTCAGCACAGCAAACTCACACACACCAGATGAGGGGTGCAGAAGATGAGAGCTGTTTCATTTACTCGACTGCCCAAAAAGGAAATTCGCACATTAACATGAGATCAAAGACACTCTTTCTTGTCCCATCTGTGGTTCTCAGTACAATTACCTCTTGAAATGGTTAAATAGTGTGCACTAGACTCAAATAAATACTCATCTTACTCTCACATGCACTGCAGAAACGATCAATCATCGTCAATAACACAACTATACAGACCCTGCAAGTTTTTGCAGACAATAATTAATGAGGCCTCTCATTCATCCCACCACCCTTAATGATGTATTTAAAATTTAATGCATTTTCTAAACCTTGAGTCAGTGAGCAGTGCAGGTGTTCAATAGCTTGTGTGTCAGCATCCCTGTAGAGCTGCCTATGAATCAGCAAGGCTGTAGCTCTGCTAAGCGAGGACAAATCTCCACAGACTAAAAGCTAGATTTAGGCTAAATGGACATATAATTGTAGTTAGGAGATACACATCTGTGGTTCTGTGCAAAGAAAGTCACAACAAATCTGCCTTTTATGATGTAGCTTTAATGAAGACCTAGTTCTTTCAGAGCCCTTTACTATCTTAGCTAGATCTAATCCACGTTTTCTTGATATTTGGTCACACAGTCGATTTACGCTGCTGGATAATAAGAATCGATGTCAAGCTATGTGACCTTTTCCCTCAAACACACACCAATCACGCAACCTGTCATTCCAGTAGAGGTGTACACTTTGAACTCCCAGAGAACAGGTGAGGAAAGGGCCAGCGCGAGGCTCTACTAAACTGATGACTGGAAAGCGCTACAGATCTCTGGGTTCGTGTCAAATAAGGGTGTCCTTGATAAAGAAAATTATTATTTAAAAAAAAAAGTTTCAAAAAATATATTTTAAACAATATATAAAATTGTATTTATACTTCATACCTTTTAGATTTAAAAAATATTTATTTAGTTTTATTTTCATGACTATGATTCTTTTAATTAGACTTTTTTTCTTTATTTTTGCATTTATTTTTACATTAACAAAAATAGTAATTCAAATTTTATTTCAAAAATTAATTTTGCTTATATGCAGGTCATTGTATGTATCAATTAATAGATCCGGACAAAATAATTAATGTCAAGTCACTGTCCCATTGGCAGAATTTGAACAAGTTTTAAAAAATGCAACATATCATACCCATTTTTGTTTATTAGATATTTTGCATTAAATTATGCTTTCAGCTACCAATTAGATATGTTACTTTCATTTAAATCCATTTAAAATTCTGTTTCTATGTGCCTACTTACTCCCTGCTTACTCTGATATACCTATACTGTCAATGGCCTTCTCCCAGTAGGACTCTTCATGAGATTTCCTCATATAGGAAACATCTGACATCTATAAAAAAAAAGGAAATGTACAAATGCACATCCACTTTATCTTTCATAAAGACACATACCTTGTCAGTAAAAGAACAGAGAGAACAGACATTTAATCTCCAAAGATGTAATGGCACTTTTAACCTCAAATCAATTGTGACTGTGTGATCTGAGCCAATGATTTAACATTCGCAATATGCATATCTAAGTGAGCCAAGTTTGAAAGTTATCCAATTCTTTTGTTCTAATGGAGTCTATATTTCAAACACAGCCTGTGAGGCAGTAGATTTGTTCTGTATTAAGTTGAAATGAAATCTGAAATGTCATATTTTCCAAGTTTGTTTGTTGTACCACATATGATATGAAGCTTCATCTTTATACACAATACTTTTCGCACAAAATATGAATATTTGAGGCGTCGTTCGGATTTGCCTGGCACTGAACCCAAAGCAACAGAATGTGATCATTAAATTTACTGTTTAAGTCACTGAGTTTCCATTACAGGCTACATAAGTTTTTGCTGTGAGAAATTAAGACAGCCCATGTGGTGGTAAACAGATGTAGTGTGCGTCTGTTCCTGGGGTTTTCCTATATCATCTATAAAGCACATATATTACTTGTTCTCTCAAATACACTGACTTGTTACAGTGAGGATTTAGGGGTTGCTGTGAAATTGCATTCATCAACAGTGGCAAAAGACAATCTGTTGATAGTCTTTTCTCTTCATAGCACCTAGATTTATTAACTCAGCTACGAGGGGCCAAGGAGATGATTTGCCTGCAGAAAGGTTGTTACATTGAGGCAGTTCAATCTCATGCCAGAACCAAGGGCATTTGCACTTCATTATCACAGAATAATTTCAAACAGAAACTGCAAACCAGAGCGCAACAGGTGATGCATTATTACAGACGGGATGGTGTTTGGAATGGCGCAGGCCATCAATCAAGAGCTCCATTTGAAGAATGATGCATTGGGGCGAAATGCAAATGCACATTAGGCTGCAGAGCGTTAGCCATAAATGATCCCCGCATTTCAACAATATTCTACCATCAGTAGACAAGATGCAGTGCAGCATGCACAAATATGTCTGAAATGAGAAATGAATTGGACAAAAAAGAGGTGACACTTCTGGTACTGAAAGGATTCTTTTGAGTTGGAAAATCAGTCATGGTCGTCCTTGTCGGGACAACTGTTTTGAGACTGCATTATGATGTTTGCGCTCATAAGTCTTTGCCAGGACTGCTTTTTCAGACCATCTAACATGAGGATGAGTTGTTTATCTTTGTCTCTGTCCATAGAGCACTACTCCTATTGATTGAGGGAACTGATCCCGGCCGGGTAGCTGGTGTTCTGGGTCCTTGGTGTACCTGATGGAACGTCATATTCTTGTTGAGTTTGACATCAATGCCTGGTGAAGCATATGTTCAGAACAGCAATGTCTCCAGGGTGGGCAAGTCATATAGTGTTACTATAACTACAAACACTCCCATATGTACTAAAAGAAAAACACAAACGCTGTATGGTTGATAAGAGTGATTCACGTAAATACCGTCAACATCACGTTCACTACCACTACAACTTAAAACTAAACTATACTGACTTTAGCCTGTGCTGAATACCAACAGTCAAAATGCAATTTTAGCATATTTAATAAAAAAATATTTTTAGAATTTTTTTAAGCTTTATATATTTTTGCAATCAATCATAATAAAAAGATAGATAATTGAAAACAAAATGATTCTTAATAAGTAAATATTGATTTTAATGAATTAAGTTAGTAAGCAAATAATGCTGCTTAATGGAAGCTTGTTTCCACCATGGGATTTAAAAAAAAAAAATCACAGTTGAGAATATTTTCTCACAATTCGGAGAAAAAAAAAATCAGAATTGTAAGATAAAATGTCACAATTACTTTTTTATTGTTTTATTCCATGGCAGAATTTTTTTTTAAGCCTTTTTTTCACCAAGGGATAAAACTATTTTTGTTTATAATTGTGGGTTTATATCTCATAGTTCAGATTTTTCTGAGTAAGAATCATGAGATATACATTTAGAATTGTGAGAATAAAAGTCAGAATTGTAGATAAAAATTACGTTTTCGCAATTACCTTTTTTGTTTATTTTTTCTGTAATTTACCTTCATACATGAAGTTTTCATCTGTGAAAGAATCCACATATTATCATAAAGTAGTTCATGTTTTATGATACAAAGTATCATATAAGTCCATATGATTTGTTCATGTTCTTCCAAGTCTTCCAAAGACATTTGAAAATGTAAAGTTAAAATCTTGTCCTCCTCCATTTGAATATGGATGAATGA